GGACAGAAATGGAAGGAGGTTCTTAAAGAGACAGAGGCCAATTTCAAGGTGTTTAGAACCAGATACGATGAGAAGTCAAATTTATTTTCTATTTAAACATATAAACAGCATATTAATAACAACTGAAGGTGACATTGTTACTTTATTATGGTATAGACTTTATATGTCTGAGAAACACATAATATTCCCCCTTTAATATTTCTTATATCATGACTTAAAGCATTTTGACATTTTATTTGGTTCTGTTAAACAATTGAAATCTCTACATTCTCCACATAGAGTCCTAAGGTGAAAAGCGAGAGCCCCCTCCTCGGAAAGAGTCCAGTACTGTCCAGTTTGGTGTCCAACAAGAAAGCAGGACGAAAGCTGCGGATTGATTTGAAGAAAGGTGGGCGTCATCTGGCCAAAGAATGAACTTCATTTAAAGGCTTAAAACTTAWAGAGGCTAAACTTGCTTTAGAAAGTGCTGTGATAAAGAGCTGTTCTGTCAAAGTTGCTCTATTGTTAAGACAAATAAAAGATGCTTATACTTTTAATTATTTTTATTTATTCTAATTGCATTAGTTTTTTTGAGTGTCTACTTGAATGCTACTTGTGAATATTGTGTAGTCAATCAGATAGCATTTTAAAATGTCAAAAATAATTCAGTCAGAATGCAGAATCTGGTAATCTGAGGCTTATCAGTTCATCTGGAGTCGTTCTTATTTCCTTGCTGTTCTTTGACTGAGTCCCTTTCCTCTCTCAATCTCCCTTATCCATTCTCTTCAGGGTCTATTAAGTCTTTATTGATCTGTTCATTTTTGCTGATATGAATTCATACTGGACCAAACTGCTGACTTGGCTCTGCWAAAGAGACCAGACTTAATGAGGTCTATAAAGCACAGAACCACTCCCTCTGTCTGTGCATGGCCTTTATGTGCACCCGCATGCATGTGCACGACTGCTTTAGACACGATAATGTGTGCACATATTTTCTTCAATTAGGCTTTTAGTCTTCATCACCGTTTTTTCCCGAACACTCACTTTCTGTTTCCTTCGTTTAGCAATCATTCTACTTGAACACTTTTTCTCCCCAMTTTGTTTTCTTTCTCTGGGCTCTGGCCTACCCCTGAACTCAAATTTATTAATTAATTTATTTATTTTTAATTCTTTCTGTAGTGTTTAATCCGTGTTTAATCCATCTGTAGATATTTTAGCTGCAGGTATGGCTAAAGAGCTCAAAGCAACACCATCTTATAAACTCTTAAAATGATCTCACAGTACAATAGGTTGTTGGGACAAGTTTAAGGCAGATTCATTTTGGTAAAATATCGAGCCTTTCACCTTTTACCTTATATGTGTATATATATATG